GTTATAGTAAAGCTTTAGGCCTTCTGTTTATAGGGTCACTACTTGATGATACTCAACAACAACAACATATAAGGCCAGGCCCTTGTCTCCATTTCGGATGGTGCGCTTGTTTTGGTTGAAGATCTATGTGGCCTGTGTGGTTATTTTTATTTAAGCCTCTTGTTTAGCGTCAATAAGATCTGCTGGAGGGCCCTTCTATTTAAAAGCTGGGCCTGAGAGATCATATTTTAATCCCTCATTGCTATATTTTGGAGGAACATTCTTCTAAGTCATACAGCACTCTGGTCAGTTTGCTCTGTTGAGGTAATCTGGGTTTGCTGTGGCACTGAACCTTGTGCCATTGGGGTCTCAGATGCCATAATGGAACAACTATGCCATAGGTATGCCAAACACCATAATGCCTACTCATCGTGGGCAGCGTTTGGTGGAGCTTCCAGATTGATTCAGGTTTGGAAGCAGGAGCGGCATCCACTTCCTAAAGCACATGCCTCTGGAAACTCTGTGAATTTGGAGAAACGACGATAGTTATAGAAAGACTTCAGGCCTTTTGTTCATATGTATATATTTGGAAGGCCCTTGTATTTAAAACTCGGTTGGGCCCAAGGGTCTAGAGTTATTTTTGGAGGAACATTCTTCTAAATTATGCATCATTCCTCTGTCAATATGTTGCCCTGAGGTTATCCGGATTTGCTGGGATGCTAAACCTTGTGCCACTGGGGGTCAAATGCCATAATGGCTGCCCATGATGGACAGTGTTTGGTGGAGCTCCCAGTTTAAGACAGGTTTGGAAGCAGGAGTGGCATCCACACATGCCTTTCGAAATTCTGTGAACTTGGAGAGACAACGATAGTTATAGTAAAGCTTTAGGCCTTATGTTTATAGGGTCACTATGACTCATGCTCAACTTGATGGCAATCAACAAAAACAACATCCCCCAGAGTCCCTATGACTTAGACCTCATTCCACATCACCTCATAACCACCACTTGAGAAGAGATCCAAGGTTAAGAATATCAGACATAAGCTCCGGCCACAGTATTTTGTTCAGGACACCTGATTTGGGGGTTCTAGGACTTTCAGGGGGCCTGTGAGCAGGGAGGGTCACTTAAAGCTACAATGACAGATCCTCTCAGGGACCCTGATGGTGGAGTTCAAGGAGGGAAGCAGAGTCAAGGTTTATGTTCTGGGTAACTTTCTCCGAGCTCCTGCAACGTCATACCCAGAGTTAAATTATGATGAATAACATAAGTCCATCACAGAGGCACAACTATCGTATAAGATCTCGGCTATGAACAACTAAGGAAAGATTTGCACACAGAATCATTCTTGGATGGTTACTGGGATGGGAAGGGAGGGAGAGAGAGAAAAATTAATAAGAGTGAAGGGGAAATATACAATAAGAGAATGATCAGATGTTGTAATGAATTAATAATATTAATAAATTGTGATTAATTGTGGATGGTGTCCTTGGAAAAGGAAGTCTTGTGGGGAAAGGTGAAGGGTCAGGGAGGGGGAGCCTCTCAACAGTGACTGTATCTGTGGGCTCTAGTGTGTCAGAGACGATCAGGATGTGACAGGAGAGGACTCAGATCTGATGCTGGTGAGTTAAGGTGAACTTGACTGCACTTAACAATTTTAACTAATACTACAAAACAAAATGTTTAGACAAAAAAGCAAAACAAAACAAAATGTTTATGGATGACTGAATGAAAAACCAATATGATTTGGAAACTTTCACTAAAATTAAAGACCCCCACAAGCCCCATTCCTCCCAGACCATGAGCCCCTCCCTAACGCACATGACCCCGCCTCATCTACCAAAATTGGCTTTTAAAGGCCCCCATCCCTACTGTGGTCCTTCCAGCTCAGGGGTGCCTTTCTGGCCACGCCCTTCTAGTGTGTTATGGCCCCGCCCATTCAACACTGGACCTACCCTGCTCATGGCCCCGCCCACAGCACAGTGGGCCACGCCCTTTCAACTGTTGGGCCCATCCTGTTCCTGGCCCCGCCCACCTCCTACTTGGACACGCCCCTTCGACTGTTGGTCCCACCCTGTACCCGGCCCCGCCCATTTCAGTGTGCTGCGCTCCTCCAGAAATTGGTCCCACCCTGCTCATGGCCCTACCCACCTCACTTGTCCACGCCCCTTCAACAACTGGCCCCACCCATCTCACACTGGGCCACGCCCCTTCAACAGCTGATCCCACCCTGCTCCTGGCTCCACCCATCACCCGCTGGGCCACGCCTCTTCCGTGGTTGCCCCGCCCCTGTCCCTGGCTCCGCCCCCAGCCTGTCTCTGGCGGCCTCACCTCTCCAATCATGCCATTCCAGACGCCATCGATCTTCTTCCCGTGCTTGCCGTTCGTGACCAGGTAGAGGTCATAGCTGAAGCCGATGGTGTGCGCCAGCCGCTTCAGAATGTCGATGCAGAAACCCTTGCAGCACCGCTTTTCCGGGCGGGGGGCGTCTGGCGGAGGGCTGCGAGGACAGGGTGACTGGGCTTGGGGATGCTGGGGATCCCCTCCTTATTCTGCCCCATAACATGAAGGTATGGACCAGAGGAGCCCAGCAGGTAGCAGATAAAACTCTGGCTAGCACTTTCTGGGGAAACAGAGGACTGCAGAAGTCACATGATTTGCCCCAAATCACAAAACCAGATGGTGAGTCCTTTGCACCCTGACATCCCAGTGATCCCAGCCTCCAGGGCAGAGCTGCCCCTTGGCTCTCCAGGACAGTGAATCATTCTGAAAGCAGATGACCTCATCTCTGTCCCCTAGAGAAGCTGGTGGATTGCAAGAGGCCAAATGCCCACTTTGATTTCTGTTAGCACCAGGCTACTTTAACCGCGGGGTTCCTCCTTGGGACTCAGCGGAGGATGATGCTGGGATATGGTCATCAGAGAGGACACGGCTGGGGGCCAGGCCAGCTGGGCTGCAGGCAGGAGGTTTGGGGGCCGTGTCTCTGGGTCCCTGCTGCACCCACCCACCTGTGGGTGCGGTTGAGCTGGCTCCGGCAGGGCACCGAGTCTCGGATGCACGTGCCGCTGATGGGGTCCGCGGGCTCCACAATGACGAAGGGCCGCTCCTCCAGCGTGGCCACCGTCAGGTGCTGCGTGTCGTCCACCGGTTGTAGGAAGCGGCCGTAGCGTGACCACAGTGGGTACTTAAGGCGGAGAGTCTGCTGCTCCCAGCTGCCCACCTTGGCCAAAGACAAGGAGGTGAGCCAAATGGGAGGGGCTTCTCCAAGCATCCCCCGCTCCAGGTACCTCTGCCCTCAGGTCTAGGATGTGGGCCCATGTCTCATACCTACAGGACACAGTTGCTTCTACAATTCAGACCTCCAAAGCCCTAAACCCTTCCTCCCCTCAGACCTTCAGAGTTCCTCTCTTCAGAGCTTGGTACCCCTAATCTCTCTTCTCCTAGGACCCAGGAGTGTGGGCTCCCAGAGTCTCGCTCAGATGCTGGACCCTCAGCTCCTCCTGCTTGCGATCCAGGACCCCAGCCTGTCCCTTCCCTACTTGAGGGCTGGGCTGGTACTCACCACCTCCCAGGTTCTGTCCCTGGTGAGGGAGATGACCACCAGGGACGGGTTCACCAGGAAGCCGTCCTCATTGAAGGAGTAATCCCGGTTATCCCACGTGATGTTCATGAAGTACCTGCCCAGGAGCAAAGCGGAAATGCAGGGACTGGACTGGGTCCTTGGGCATTGGAGGAGAGAGAAAGTCCATTTTGCACTACTACCCCCAGCCCCCAGGAGGGCCTCTTCTGTTTTACGGGCAAGCTCTTGAAACACAAACAGGCCTCTTTGTTGATCACTGCCTCATGGTCACCCACTGTATCCTGGACACTGTCCAGCTCCTCAGCCAGGCAGCGAGGGTCCTTGCCAGTCAGGCCAACTCCACCTCCCAGGCTGACAGCCAGCTCCTAACTCGACGACCTTCATCTAACACAAGCCACTGCAGTCCCACCACCTGCCCACAGACCTCCCCTCTGGGCCTTTGCACGTGCTGTTCCCCTGACTTGAAAATGGGCAGGCCTCGGGTTAAAAATGTCTGACTTATGCACACCCATGTTTATTGCAGCTTTGTTCACAATAGCAAAGATTTGGAAACAACCCAAGTGCCCATCAACAAACAAATGGATAGGCACACTCTGGTATACTCACACAATGAAATACTACGCTGCATTAAAAAACAAGGAACTCATGCAATATTATTCAAAATGGGTGACCCTGGAGGACATTATGCTGAGTGAAATACCTCAGTCACAGAAGGACAAATACTGCATAGTGCCACTGTTGTAAAATGGGACTGACATCAGGATTGGGGGAAGACTGAGGAACTTCGGATAAATTACGTACACTGCACTGAAACAGATAAGGGAGAGAACTGTTTAAAAGGGATATGTGATTAGATATTATTGTCATGACAGGAGTCCAGAACAAAGGCTGCACAGTGGAATGGACTTGGGGGGAAGGGATTGTATAACAACGAAAGAGTTTTACTTTTCAAAGAGAAGAGCAAACTGGGTGGGGGGAGGTTGGACAAGGAGAAAAGTGCAACAACGGATGGAAATCCAAAGTCTCTGTAAACTGTCATTAAAATGAATAATTTTAAAAAAGGGGAAGGGGAGAGGGCTGGGCTGGGAGAGAAGTGCAGCAATGAATGAATGGAAATCCAAAATCTCTGTAATGTTCATTAAAATTATTAAAAAAAATAAAAAAGGGGGAAAAATGTCTAACTTACATATAACCCTTTAAGGGCTGTTAAATTATAAATGTGAAGTATATACAGTGGTTTGTAATCCCAACAAATGCTAGTTTGCGACACCCACCAAAATATCATTTGTATACTATGATTATGTTAAAGACGTTTTCATGTCTTTAGAAGTGTTTTGTGGGGTTTTTTGCACAGAAAGGTAGGCTATCCATCTGTTCCTCACTTATCAACATGACTGGGTGCTGAAGGCCAGGTTTTTAAGCCCAAAATCAGCATTATGCAAGATGGAGGATGATCACGTCATATCACACAGTGGGGTTGATTATCTTACAACTGTTAAATTACATCATTATGTTAACGACCAAATTACATCGCTTATTATTGTCAAACCACTGAGAATCAAGGCCCAGCCAGGATGACACACAAGCGTAACCATCGCAGCTGGCATTCTTCTCGTTTTAGTACCTCAGTGTTCCTAATTGCCAGATACATTGTTGACATGT